TTCCTGCTGGGAACGCTGGGGTCCTTCCAGAGAGGGTGGAGATGACACTGGGTTGGAAAGTCCCAGTGAGGCCCCTTGCCCTGCTGCTGCTGGCATGTGTCCAGCTCTTGGGATCCTCAAGATCAGGAGGGGCAGTTTCCCAAATGTATTTTCCTGGTCCGTGGGAGGAGGAAGGAGCAGTGGGGAACATCCCAAGGTGCTCAGTTGCTGGGATGACACCTTCCAGGGGTACCTGCTGCTGCCACGCAGCAGCAAGGCAGAGCCCGGGCTGAACCGGATGCCAGGGACGGGCAGGGTGGAAAGGCCAGCTGAGAGGATTTTTGGGGAACTTCTTTTTCCAGGAGAGGCACGAGCTGCTTCATACCCTGCCAGACCTCAGCGCCCGTGAGTACTGCCTGAGCCCTGGGGATGAGCACGTGTGAGCCGGCAAGGCTTGCTGGGGACACAGGCTGCTCTGGGATGTTCATGACTCCTTCAGGGTGGATATGAGGAGCTGAACAGAGCAGGAAGGAAGGATGGAGTGGGATTTCAGAATCCCAAAGGAAGACGGTCTCTGCAAGGAGATGTCCACCACCACCAGCGGGGGCTTCCTCTGTGTGGTGCCCAGGGGCAGAGGCCATGCGCAGCCTTGCACCAGCCCTCCGGGTTTGGGTCTGGGGGATTCAGACACCCATCGCCCACCATCCACTGCCCACCACCCAAGCTGGTGGGTGAGCAGGGCTGCAGGGAGCCGAGGGCTGCAGCCGCAGCAGGGCGAGCGGAGGAGAGGTGGATTGGTGGTGGCAGTGCTTGCAGCCCTCCAAACTCCAACCTCAGCCTTGGTGGCCAAGTCCCACAGCCTTCCTCCACCCAGCCTCTTGTGCTCATGGGATTTCCAGCCTCACTGCACCCCTTGCCTCAGCCCTGCTTGGCCCTGGTCCTGCCCTTGAGGGAGGCACCCAGGAGAGAAAATCCTGGGGGGCTCCAAAACTGCCCTCATGTGGGTGAGCTCAGCCCAGGATTGCCCTGGCTGCTCACCCTCTGCAGACCCTGGGAGGACAACAGAAGCGCCCAAGCACCCAGCTTCTTCCCAGACAGCTACACCAGGCTCCGGGGGGAGTTTCTGTTTATTTGGCAGAAAGGAGGGACTGGGCACTGGAGGAGCAGGGGACGTGTCAGAGCCTTGACCACCGAGCTCAAAAGATGGGCTGGATGGGCTCTGCAGCTCTTTCTCCACGGAACCAGTGGTTTCGGTTCAAGTGCCCTTGCTCACCGCTGGGCAGCTGCACCCCGGGGGTCCCCACTGCAGGGTGGCTCCAAAGGGAATGGTGGTGTGTGTAAGTGCCAGCATGGGTTCAAACAGCTCAGCCCCCCGGGTAATTCAAGGTGTTCATGGTGGCCCTTGCTGGGGCACCAAGGCTGGCAGCTTCCAGCCAAGGATATTGCAAACATTGTGTTGCGCTGCAGCAACTCAGCTATGCTTCGTCGAGGCTGCAGTTGTCTGTGAAAATAAAGAGGAAGGCTGAGTCTGGGGCTGTGGTCTGGCCAGTCCCGCTTAGCACCCAACATAGACAGCCCAGGGATGAACTCGGACAAGGCAAAAGCCACAACGTGCCAAGCCAGAGTCCCTCTTGCTACCAGCACTTCTGCCAGCTCAGACCACAAAGCGGTGGCAGCAATGGGCCGAGCTGGTCCCACCCTGCTCCCGGTACCGACTGAGCCAGCCCGACACAGTGCTGGGCAGTGCTTACCCTGGCTGGGCAGCATCTTGATCATCTCATCGGTGTAGCTCTTCTCCCTCGCAAGCTTCTTGAACAGCGCTGTGATTTCGGGGCTCACCTCCCGGGTTCTGCCTAAAGGCAAAGAGAGGAGTTAGCTCCAGGTCCCTGCACCTCCTGGGCAGCTGGTGAGCACGCCCAGGCGAGGACAGGGCAGATGATGGTCCCTGGGAGAAGGCTGGAGGCAGCAGCGGAGATCCTGGAGAGCAATGGTGGCCAGGCACATGAGACACACCTCCAAGGGGACAAGATGAAGCGGAGGTGCTGGCACCAGCACAGCATCTCCTCTATTGGTTCCCATCCCCACCGTTTCTGCCCCCCATGCAGCAGGACCCCTGCTCATTGCCCCATTTCACCAAGGACTTGCCCAAGGCCACGGACTCCCAGTGCAGCGCAGAAGCCTGAGCCCCAGCTGATCTCTACCCCTTCCCTGGCTGTGCAGGAGACACTGGCAGGCCCCCCCCCCCCCCCCCCCCCCCCCACCCCCCGCTCCCACACCCCCCCAGGGCAGTGGTGAGGAGGGGGTCTCTGCCGCAGGCCCCCTGACTCCTGGCCTCCTGGGACACTGCAAAGCACCCTGACACCTCCGCACTGTTCACCCCAGCCGAGCCAACACAGGCTACGCACTGTAGAGCCTCAGCATGTGCAGGGTCCTCCCATCCTTCACTCTGGAGGCAAAGATAACGGCGTACGTCTTGCCATCGGTGTCCAACACTTGCACTATTTTATTGCCTCTCTCTGCAGAAGGACATGGAGGAAAGCGAAGAATTAATTACCTCCTCCTGGGAACTCTCACGCTGCCAAGGGGCTGTAAGGGTGTGAAGCCCCATGCAGGATGCCAAGGGCCAGGTCCACCCAGCCCGTCTTTCCTCTGGGTCTCTCACTCCCTGTTTCTCCTCTTGCTAAGGCTCCTCCAAAAGCCTGGGGGAGCCCACAAGTCACAGGAGAGCAGAGGGGCAGAAGGTGAACATGGGAGGATTCGGGGATGGTTGCTGCAGCCAGCCGAGCAGCCCAGCCAGTATCAGACTAATGCTTGGGCTCGGGATGGTGGGAAACCACTCTCGCTTCATCCCTCAGGAATATCCATCCACAGCCCCGTTGCAGAATGAACTGGCTCTGCCCCAGGGTTTAAGCTTAGTCTGAACGTGTCCGTCTTATCCCAGAGCAGCTTCCAGAGGGAGGGAGCGGGGGTCCACCAGGCTGGATGGTCACTAGCCCTGGTACAGACTAGCCCTGGGTGCAGAGGGACGTCCCACCCCAGGACCTCGGGGGAGGCAGACAGGGAACCCCAAGGGCCAGGAGCCCTGGGACAACCAGCGGCTTCAGGCAGGGGTGATGGGAAGCGTCTCCGCCCTGTCCCGGGGGCTGGGATCCCCCCACTCACCAGAGCTGTAGTATTCACCCGGGATGTCCATTTGCTTGTAGATCGACTCCCGTTTCTTACATCCCTCTGGGCTGCAAAACAGTGATGGGTGCTGCGGCTGGGGTGAAGTGAGCCCCCCTCCCCTCCCCTGGGGATGCTGGCTCCGGGGTCGCTGCCCCAAACGTGGGACTTGCTGTGCAGGGATGAGATGGGGTGGCCAGAGGTGGGGACAGCTGGCACCCTTGGAGCAATGGGTGCCTGGGTTGGCAGGGCACAGCACTGGCACTTGAGGACCGGACATGCTCTGAGCTGCTGGGATGAGGCTGGTCCTGCTGGTCCCTTATCATCCTGCTGCATCCCTGCTGGGAGCAGCTGGGTGCCTCAGCCTCTGTGGTGGGACTGATCCTGGCTGGTGCTGCTCTGGAGATGGGGTCCCCACAATGCAGCTCTCCCAAGCCCCTGTTTCAAACCGCGGGGTGGGTGGTTCTGCCTCACCCCCTGCCCAGGTCTTTGGTGGGTGCTGGGTGGAGGCACCTCGGTGGAGACCCCCTGGGGAAGGCCCAGGGAGGAAGTTGGTCAGGGAAGCCCCTGGAGAAAAGCGCTTGGCACTTACGTGGGAATGGCAAAGGAGACCTTCAGGTCGCCCTCCCCCAGGACCGTGATCTTGGCCATCGCCATCTTCAGCTCATCCTTCTCTCGGAGGTAGCGCTCGGAGTTGGAGGCCAGAGCAATGATGTACCATTTCCCTGCAACCTGGCAGCGAGTGTGGGCTGTGAGCCCAGAGGAGCTGGCAGGGGCTGTCCCCTCCTTGGGGACTGAGCCAGGACACCCCCAGGCCGAGGGACACCCACATTCCCTCCAGGCACTGAAATCCCCACTGGGGCCCCTAAGCTGGAGCTGGGTGACTGCCTTCACCTGGGTGTGACAGCAGAGCCGGCGGTGGCTGTGGCGTCCCCCACTGTCCCCAGTACTAAAACACCTCCCCAGTCCCCACCCTGGTAACCAGAGGTCACGCTCCCACCTTCCCTTCCCGGGATGCTGTGGATCACCTTGCTCTTGTCCAGTCCCGCAGCCCCAAGGTCCTTGGCCCCCGCGTGCAGTGAGCAGAGCAGGGCCAACCCCAGGCTCAGCCCCAGGGTCCTCATCTCGCTGCAGCCTCCTCTGGCTTTGCCAGTGGGATGGAAAGCGGTGCCAGGGCTGCCGACTTTATAGCGCCGTGCTTCCCCCACCCCGCCCAGCCTGGTGCTGCTGCGTGCTGAGCTGCACGGATCACGCTGCCGGTGTTGGCTTGGGCAAGGTGGTTATTTCAAAGGGCTGAAGTAAACAGTCTCCTGTCTTGCAGAAGGGAAGTGCCCGCAAGCCCCAGAAGGGGCTGAGAAGCGGTGTTGCGGGAGCTGTTGCACCAGTGTTGAAATTTAGGATTTTCCCGGTTTCTTTAGTTGCTTGTGAAAGAATAAAGAGAGCTTTTGTTTCCCAGCTGGCTGCCAGAGGGCTGCCGGGAGGAGCGGGGAGGTCCTTCCCGGCATGGGCCACAGCAGCACCCTCACCCAGTGACCTGTCAGGAAGGGGCTCGGTCACCCGTCCCTCTGGCCAGGCTGGCATCTGCCCCGAAGCTGCCGCTGGGATCGTGCCCAAACGCCAGCACTCGCACGCTGCCGGCGTGACCAGATCCCATGGTGCCCATGCAGGCTCAGCACCCACTCTGGGGCACTCAGGGACTGCAAAGTGGGATGTGCCCAGAGCGGGGCAGACAGAGGACAGAGATCATGTTGCTGTGGGAGTCTGTCCCCTCCTTCTCAGGTGGTGTTGTCCCCTGTGCCCTGGCTCCGGTGGGCTGCTGGGGTCCTGGTCCTGTGCTGTTTCCTTGCAGCCCTGTTCCTGGCTGGGCACTGGGGGACCCTTGCTGTGGGGCAGGGGGGCAGTGGGGAGGAGCAGGGGTGGAGGGGGGCGCCAGAGGCAGGTGTGGGGGTCCCCTGGGCAGCCCCAGTACAGCCCCACTCCCACCTGGGTACCCTGGGGGTGAGGGCTGAGCAGGGAACAGGGGGTCCTGGGGACGAGCTGCCTGTGGGGAGCCAGAGCCCAGGCAGGCAGGGCTGGGCAGCCTGACTGCCCTACCCAGAGCTGCTGCCCTCCTGGCCGAGCTGTGCCAACCCCTGTTCATCCCAGCGCAATTCTCCCCTGCCGCATCCCTGGCAGCTGCCCCTCCATACCTTCCCCATCCTCTGCTCGAGCAGGGAACAGGGGGTCCTGGGGACGAGCTGCCTGTGGGGAGCCAGAGCCCAGGCAGGCAGGGCTGGGCAGCCTGACTGCCCTACCCAGAGCTGCTGCCCTCCTGGCCGAGCTGTGCCAACCCCTGTTCATCCCAGCGCAATTCTCCCCTGCCGCATCCCTGGCAGCTGCCCCTCCATACCTTCCCCATCCTCTGCTCCCCATCCTCCCCACACTGGATGCAGCCAACAACGCAGCAAAGGAGCCCCCTGACACCCCTGGGGTGCTGAGACGAAGGGTGGGATCCAGGACTGCTGGGCTCAGGGTGCCTGGGTCCCTGGCAGCACCCCTGCTCCCGACAACAAAAGCACCGAGCTCTGGGGCAGCTTCTGCACCTATTTATTGAGGGGGGGCGAGGTGTCATTCTCAAGCCCAGCAGAGCCCGGCTGGGGAGGACGGGAAGGGGCATCACGGAGTGGGGAGCAGAGCCCAGTTTCCACCAGGTCTGGAGGACACACGGCCCTGGTGCTGGCCCCTTCAGCTGTAGGGAGGCAGGACAGACAGACAAGCTGTTAGAGCAGGGGAGAGTCAAGGTGACACAGAGCCCCAAGGCAGGGGGGGCGCTCCCCGGGGGGCTGCGAGCCCCTGCTCAGCCCTGGCCATGCCGGAAGGGAGACCTGGCTCGCCCTGGCCACACTCACCTGATGGCCTTGGTGCATTGATCTGTTGGAAAGCAAAGCAAGGGGTGAGCATGCCACTGGCAGTGCCCCGAGCCCCCCCGCACCCCCCCTGCAGAGGGGCCGTGCGTGCTCCCTGTGCACTCACCTGACTTGGGCAGGACAGCCAGCATGTCCTCGGTCAGGCCCACGGCGGGGATGAGCTCCCTGAGTTTCTGCAGGAGCTGGAAGCTGATGTCCTGCTCCCTGGCTGCAGCCAGACACCCAAAGTGGGGGCTGGTGAGGGTGGGGGGACCCGGCTGCAAGCCCCATGCGGGGGGGTCTGGCTCCCACGGGGCAGCAATGGGACCCAAGGGAAGGGCAACGGCGAAGCCATGGAGGTGCTGGGTGGACACCAGGCACCCCATGCTGCCCTGGGCTGGCAGCAGAGGGGCATAAACCCCTTGGGATGGGTGGCCCCCCTGCCTGGGGTGGTACGGGGCAGCTGGTGGGGCGGGGGGGTCTGCAGCCCGCACCAACAGGGGGACTTCAGTTCAAACCACAGTAAAACGGGGATATTTTTGGTGTGAGGTTTCATTCACCCCACAATGAATTCCCTGGGTGCGCCTGGGTGCCAGCATGTTGGGTGCCAATGTGGTAGCCAGCGGCAGCGATGGGGCGCCCA